AAACATAATATTATGGGTCAGGGTAGTTTTCGGTGCTTGTTTTTACTAATCATACATAGTTAGTTTCTTGCTTTAGACATGATTTTGGAAAAATAAAACCTAAATTGTTCAACAACAGACAGCAGATATTGAGTCCAGCTCTCTAAACCAAAAGCGCCTTGGCATTCTCACTGCAACTACGAAGCCTAATCAAGTTGATTATCCTGCAATATTAAACAATGCATAAACTACCACGTTGTCTGCTTACACTGAGGACAACTTTGCCACTTCTCCTTGTATGTTTCGAGTCAGGCAGTAAGCTCTGCCTGGCCTCCGCCTGCTACCCCTTCTGCTGCAGTTTACTCCCAGATTTTATACTCAACCACTCACAGCAGGTTGACAGATTACCTTTGGTCCAGAGCCCAAACGGACAGTGTCCAAGCCACGATAAACACAGCAGCTATTATTTCTGCTTCCAGTAATCTACCTACTCTGGAGCCAGATGACGTGAAGAAGATAACAGCACAGTGGTCGGGGCTGAGGGAAATGGAAGGTATTCAATCGCACCCTTTTTTACCGGGTCTGTCTGATAAAAAGCCGATATTGTAGCTTTGAAGTTGGTGTTATTCCTTCTTAACACTGTACGTCACTGAGGGCTGACATGATGGAAAAAGGAGGAGGGAAAAAAAAGAAGCCTAATGTCCTAATTAAGATTGTACAGATTTGATGATGGAGCAGAGAGAAGGCAATTGAAGCCATGTGTTCATTTTCTCCCAACCTCCCAACCTCCATGTGTTCGCTCTCACTCCTTCCCTCTTTCCCAAACAATCTCTATGAGGACTTATTGCGTATCAGGAACGATTATTGGTGTTTGATCTGCACAGAAATCCATATATTACTGCTGCCTAGGCGAGACACTCTTACAAATACAGGTTAGAGTGCATAAATTACAAAAACTCGCCTTTCTACTCCCTAAAACATGTGATTTTTGTGTTAAAGCCCACTTGAGAGACGGTGTGTCGGCAGGTTAAAGATTGCTAAGAGACCATCGCAGGTTTGATCCTAACAACAGCACGTTGTTTTCAGTAGGCATGGGCCCCGCTTAAGTGTCTTTAAGCTAAACACTGCAGTCTTACCAGCCATCTTTTTTACATTTTAGGCATCTGGATGAGAGCCTGATTCCTAAAACAAAATTTAACTGAAGTGCTGCTCGGAATAGACTCCTCTCCACTGCAGTAAACTAAACCCAGAGCCTCAACCTGTGCCAGAAGAGGCAGCTGTGACAGTGTATCTAAGCCTGTGTGAGTTAATTGTGGGGTTCTGGTGACTGGGGAGAGGCCCAGGTGTTTGTTTACACTCACACAACCATAAGTGGCCATAGCTGGGGCCGGGCGAAGCTTTAAGACCAGGCGACAGGGCTTTGTGTACAGAAGCTGCTCATGTGCTTACATTTACAGAACTTGTTCGAGTATCACACCGTCATCGTGCAAACAGAACCCAACAGACGGACACACACAGTTGTTTGGAGGGCTCGGAACACAAAACAAAGCGGAATGCAGCGCAGTAAATAAAACGATTTAGAAGTCGAGGCAGCACACATTTACAGTATTTTATATCAGTATTACAATATGGATGAACTGTAACATAGCATGTATTACATCAAAGACAGAAAGTTACTGTATTTAGTATTTTTTTTACATTAATGTGACGCCATATCAACCACCACTCCTCTCTAAAGGCTTTCCATTAGATTTTGGGACTTGATTACGCGGAAAAAGGCCTTGTCCAGACACTTGCCACAAAGATGCAAGCAAAATATTGTCTAAAGTATAAGTTGCAGAACTGCTGTTGATTATATCTGGAGGAAAGGGGCCAACAATGAAAAACAACCCAAACCAAAAGTTCACAGACGTAGAGGGGGGGATAGCCTTAAAATATATCTATGTTGTTCTGTATAATAAAACACATTACATTAGTTCTTGGAGCAGGTCAGATTTCTGCAGAAGAGTCGGTTCATATTTCACACACATTATTTTGACAACAATAGATATGAATATTTTGTGCAGGTGCCGAAGATGCTTCAACTCATGCGTCACATGATCGGACCTGATGGATGCAGCAGTGCACTGATCACGCTCAGAAAGAAGCACACACACACGCCAGTTAGGTAAAAAGCCATGGAAATATTACTGCACCTAATATTTAAATGCAAAACCACACGAGTATCAGATAAAGGCCACAAACGGAGAGAATACTGTTTGCCTTCAGTGAGCCAAAGGCAGAGTGTTGCTGGCGAGTTAGCGTGTTGCTCCGGGCAGCGCGGCTTAAACAATTACCTTGAAGAACAAGAGTGTTTTTTATGGGAATAGTTCAGTTTTACAGTACAACCAGAATCCAACAATAGCTTCACGAAACAAACCTTCTCACAACAAAAAAAATCTAAACAATACACAGCTAAAGACGGGCTGGCTTCAGTCCCTGGCAACAACACGGATGAATTTGCGCGAAACAAGCATCATTTCACGTCAGCACAACCAGACTATATATATAATTAGTACAGTACGATAGTGTTCTGTTTCATGTAGCCATTCTTTGTACACCTCATTGGACACTGCTGCCCTGAGATGCATTTTTGCTTCTAAATTCTAAATAAAAAACACACAAACAAACAAACGCCACAACTTTTATGGAAAGACACTTTTTTTTCAGAACTTTCCACCCAAAATTAGCTTCTAAATGAATAGAAGGAGAGTAATAGGCCATGCAGTTGCAGAGTCATGCTTCATTTTACATCCATAACAACTAGTTTGAACAACTGTTAACAAGTTTGTGGAAACAGTGTGTTGGTTTTAAGCTGAAAGTTTGCTGACTGGTCCAGTAACTACATAAGAGAGCAGATTCAAATCTCTTCAAATGGTTCACAGAAAATGGCGGTTGTTCTTTTTTATTTTGGGAATTGATCTTTAGGTATTCTGAGTTTTATATACAGAAGGGATTGTTCTGTGCACAGACTTGGAAATGAATGCAGCTGAACAATGTAGAGGTTACCATGAGAAACTGTACTGTTTGAAGCCATGCAGGCACTTTTCGGTGTGAGTCAGACACAGCTTTCTGAAGTTCTTCTGCACATTAATAATTGAGCTGCAGTTCCAGATTGGAGAACAGACAAATGTTTTTATACAGCATCTGAAAATAAATTAAACACATATACCAAACCCTACACTATGTCATGCTTTCCTCCCAGTCGGGCACGCCACATTCATCGGAGACGCTACTTTACAGCACGCAAGAGCGTCTGTACTTGCAGACAAATGCTGGCCTCCATCAGAAGACTTTCGGCTGTGTGACACAAACTGACAGACCAAATAAGGTAGATGAAACATGAAGAGACTCTTTCTTGTTGAGGCATACTTAATATTTTAAGATCGAGGAGCATGTGCTGACAAGTACCGCTAGTGCATGAGCACAGCACATAAAAATACCGTATGCACGATAACTCATATTCCAGTACACGTGAACATGCCCGTCTGAACAATTTTCAGGCTGAAACGCCATTTTCTGCTCCTTTGAAATTCATAAAAAAAAAAACGTTTCCCCTGAGCTGTTCTGAGATAATCCAAACATAATGTCACAGTAATCACAAAGTAATTGTATGGAATGCAATCTGTGCACTAATCACAGTAAATTGTGCCTAAATAATTCACTTAGTAATCAGAATGACTCTAATAAATTAGGACCCCGTGTTTATTCAAGATTTAATGCATCAATGTGACTTACTGTGAAAAAAACAACATTTCATCCACTGCAGATTCACTGTATCTGTATTAGTCCTGTCTCATCAACACATTTCTCCCAAAAAAGCACAAACCCCTACATAAAACCACACTCCATTACATGCACACAGATCTACTTCTGCTCCATACTTCTGTGTAGCCTGAGTCCCGTGCTATCTTCAGCACTAATGTGCTCAGGGTTGATGTGCGTCTTAGTTATTCAGGTTAATGTGTTCGCCTGTGGGGCATATTTCCATTCTGGCTCCCATTGCACACACACATCCTTTTCCAAACTGCTGTGCCATTACTGCTCACTCATACTGATGTCTTTGGTATAACTACAGCCACAGTGCTGGAAAACATAATAACCTTCAGAGTGATGTGTCATACTGTGGTAGCCATTGTAGCAGTCCTCCTTAAAGTGTCTGAACCACAGTTGTGTTTATCTATAGTACAACGTCACACAGTAGGACCTAATAGGTACAATTCCTTTCTTTGACTTCAAACATAAAGATTTTTCATATTGGGGAATAGAAAACTTTTACAGCGAGCAAACAACAGGGTAAAAGTGACTGTATGTTTGATAAATACACCTTGAACAAAGTAAAGGTCTGAGGATAGAGGACATACATGAGAAAGATAAGAACATTAGTCATTTTGCTGGTACCTGCAGGTGAGTGTTTCATGATAGGGTTTAATGCTGGCACTGCGGTCCCTCCGGACAGGCCCGGGCTCAATGGTGGGCAGTCCTGTGGCGGAGGTGGTGGTGGTCCACGTGGAGGAGATCCTCCTCAGAAGGCCAGGGTGGAGACTCCGCCTCAGACGCTGCAAGGACACAAGAAAACACAAACACATACTGTTAACACTACTGGAAAACCCGTTTATCGCTCTTTTTTAAAAATAAATAAGTACAATTTAAACCAATGAGTGAGTGTAGGAGTCAAAAAACATGACAGTAATTGCTTTTGTATTTAGATAAAAGCACTACAAGCACCCCCCACCCGTAAAATAGGGTTCCTTTGTTTCCATTCAAATGAATCACCTCGATGAGGCTGTTTTTTTCCCCCACTGTATTTGGCCAAGCTGAAACAAATGATGCAGGTGACAACCCAGAATTTTTTTCACCACTGGAAGCATTTAATTTTTCTTTCTCCACTGGATCCAAAGAGAATCAGCACTGCAGTCATTATTGAAAGGATGATATTGGCAGGCAGCTGATCCTCACGGTGCATTATTAGATAAAGTGAAGAGTCAGTATTGCATTGCACAGATACATTTCATCATGAGGATTTTTTTTTTCCTCTCTGCTTGCTTTTCATTCACTCTGCAAGTCTCTTTTGTCTCGCTCTCTCAGTCGCTGCCTTTATCTGTCTTTTCTTTGCTTGCTCCCTGGGATTCCCAGTGGTCTGTGCCCTTGTGATGCCTCCATCTGTTCGGTGCCATGCAGCAGTTTGGCACAGAAGCGCTGAACATGGCAGACTCTCGCTCAGTCCTCTGCAGGGTGACCTAGTAAAGATCGCCTCAGAATCCTGAATGAGCCCATTCACAACAAGGCATCATATACTGAGTGCTAGCACACGCGCTCATACACGGTGTTGGTTTATGTCACTTGAGGGGGACATTTCACTAACTTACATTCGCTTTGACGGCTTGACATAACCGTAATTTTCCTATACATGCACGTCAGTACTTCACTGACACATTTATGCACAGAAAACTGAATGCACACAGATCCACAAACCAGGATTCTCCTCAAAAAAAAGTCTGCATATGCCGGTGGTTTGACTGCAAAGAATTATTATCAGTGTGTTTTGTATGGTTTCTACTACAGTTCCATTACAATGTATTTTTAATTCCTCATTTTGAAATTGGAAAATAGTGCCAAGATATGACTTTGCAGCTCCATAGTAACATTCTTTAATTAAAACCTTGCAGACACAAACCAAAAACAGAAACACACACACACACATATCACCGTCGGCAACAGCACGGCAAAACCAGGCCATGCTCACAAAAAAAAAGAAGAAAAAATCTGCCGCCTGCTGCTGTTGATGTTATTTCAGTTCTATGAATGGACTTATCTCTATATCTGTTCAAATGAGAAGAGGGAGATCAAAGTAAGTTTAAACATTTTACAGGTAGATGTGTCTTTGCCCGTTTGTATTTTTTCACGTTTGTGCTTTTAGTTGTTACTTTGCAGCAGGGACAAAAAACATGGTCTATGTTGGATAAAAAATGAGTTTGGAAAAGTGCATGAAAGACATCAGTATGCACCACGGTGGACAATAAACTAGCCAGCAGGCAGAAAAGCAAGTGCAAGGCATTCCTCTCTTTCACTACCCGCCTTCACTCCTCCAGTTATTCCTCTTCTGGGCAGTTAGAGTTGGGCACATTGTCTCTGGGGAGGAGCGTCTTAATGAATGCAGCTTCACTGGCCACTGCACAGCTTGTCTTAGCCGATTTTACAAAGTTCAGTTGTCGTAAAAATACACCTGTCAGACAAACGATTGTCTTGATGGCATGGCAGCCATCGACCACACAGCAGCTTTCAAGATGGCCACAATGGGTATCTTCCTCAGATTGATGCCCAATCTTGGTGGGGGTCCATTTTTTGTCAACACATTCTCGTCCCTCTTTGTAACCTTTTGAGAAATGCACTCACCTTCAAGTTGCCTCCACTCTTCCACTCGCCTACCATACATGCACACACACTGTCTGGCTCTGCACATCTGTCATGTTGACACAGCTGTGGCTATGAAAGGGAGAACAGTGCTCCGAGCAGTAGACGCGCTCTATTTTTCTTCACTCAACTCTATGAAAATACACTCCTTCATTTGATGCTAAAAGCTCAGAGAGCAGGAAGCACTCATTAGCAGAAACATGGGCTAAAAGATTAACATGTGTGGGGAGTGCTGCGTGGTGTATAAATCATTTGGCCCTAATAAAGTGAACTACATTTCCATCGAAGGATTATTTCAGCTGTTTCCAAATAAAATTGTTTTGTGTCTGGCTCTTGGCTACTTCTGATGAAGAACTCTGACATTCGGGTGAAATATCCTCCCTTTCATGTATTCTTCACGGTTCTGAATTAAAAACCTGTACAGTGTAAGTCCAGACGTTTCATTACCTTGTTAATGGAGGTCTTCTCTCCTTTCTCAGGTCCCTCCTCTGAGTCAGAGCAGGTATAGGCATCGCTGGGGTTAAGCAGGGGAGCGGGGCGTGGCCGGTGCAGCGGCTGGAAGGTGAGCTGGGTGGTGAGCAGGTTGCTGACGGCCCGCAGCGAGGTGCAGGTGTTGGGGGGCAGAGAGGGGTCGGCCAGCAGGTCTGTGATCAGTCCGTGGGCTTCTCCCATCACTGCTATGTCCACCATGACGGTGGTGCCGGACGACTACAGGGCGACAAAGAGACAGAGGAGCGAGAAATAAACATCATTGCTGCTGCAGCTAATGCGAGTTGATGCTAATTAATGGTCTGACAGCGACTGTGTGCAGCTTCTTGGTGGCAGGCGTGAAGAGCAGGTGCGTAAACTATGTCAGCAGCTCCCTTGTGAGAACATAATGTGGTTAACTGTGACATTGGCATCACTTTTGTTGTTTATCCTACAGAACTGGCAGGGAGACTGTGCAGAGGGTACACAGCAGATGATGTTTTTACATTAGGACAAGCAGTTTTTATCTTTCTCAGCAGTGGATATCGAATAAAAAACATTTATTAAGCTGCACAGTTCTGAGATAACTTAATGTTGCATTAACCCACTTTTTTATATAAACAATGTGTCATATTACTATGTCTAAAGTAAAGCCCATCGAGAGTTATTACTTGATTTTTTTATTTTAGTTTTGCTCCACTGTTTATGGATATGTGAATAAGTATATGAATGCTGATACATGTCTGCTCAATGTGTAAATAGGAAACTTGCAAATAAACACTCCTGCCATAACAACTTCATATGGTATGTCAGTGTTTACGACTTGTTTAGCTATTCCCAAGTAGCCAAGAAAAAGTTTAATTCAGGTTGAAGCATTTTCATTTAAAGCTGCAGTAGGCAGACATTTGATATAGGCGAACAAAAAAAACACAAGAATTAGAGATTATAGAGCTCTCTTTTTGCAGCTCCTCTCTCTCCACTCATGAACTTAAAATGCACTAAGATAGTTAAGCTAAAAGTTCACATTCATTTGTGGTTTCATCACATCCTGTTGTCACCATGGACTTGTTGCTATTTATACTATCTTATCTGATCAGTAAAGAGCCATGTGATTGGTTGAAATCTCCCATCAGAGGCTACATTTTCTAAAGAAGAGAACCAGTCTATTTTCCTGTAAGACCACTTCAATTCCAATGTGCTGACAAGTTAATATGAAAATTTTGCCCAATGATGCCAAAAAAAACAAAAAACTGCCCACCCCGGCATTAATAATGTCTCTCTGCAGGGCCTTAAAATATGATGCATGATTATGCGGTACATTAAAATACACAACAATGCATAAAATAGTTTTAAAGCCTCAGCATCAAAGAGCAACTTAACAGCAACTCAAAATCTTGTTTTGCTGACCTGCAATGACTTTACTCCTCCCTTTGCTGCAGTGATACAGAGGTGTACTCCAGGATGTTTGAGTAAACTGATTGACATTGTTACACGCGGTTACAGGTGCAATAGAGCACATTTGTAACCAAACCCAGTCGTACAAATTGGTGATGCCGACCGTAGTTAGAGGTACACAAAAAACAACAACCAGAGAAGCCAGCGAAGCATCGCTTTGAGTTATGTTCTTAATGCTGACTGCACATAATATAATCCATAATATAATACTACTGTGGAAGGGGTGAGAGTAGGTGGGCATTCAGCCTGCATATTGAGTACTGTTGATGCTACCATATTTGCATTTTTCTGGTAGTCCTAGGGGCTGCAAGGTGGATCGGTGGTTAGCACCATCGCCTCGCAACAAGAAGGTCGCCGGTTCGTGTCCCGGGATCTTTCTGCATGGAGTTTGCATGTTCTCCCCATGCAGCGTGGGTTCTCTCCAGGTTCTCGGGAGGTTAATTGGTGATTCTAAATTGTCTGTAGGTGTGAATGTGAGTGTGCTTGGTTGTCTGCCTCGACTGGCGACCTGTCCAAGGTGTCCCCTGCCTTCACCCTAAGTCAGCTGGGATAGGCTCCAGCCTCCCGCAACCCTATTGAGGATTAAGCGGTGTACAGATAATGCATGGATGGTTATCCTAACTTAACTTTCTTTACACATCCTTTTAAATGCACAACCTTCCCTTTTAGTATCACATTGTTGCACTGCTACTTTTATCAAAGTATAGGATGTGCATATTTTCAACATTGGTCATGTTATACCTATAAACTATTATGTTGAAGACTGCAGCTGATAGAACAAAGAGAACAAGTGATTTAAGAACTACCACAGTCTTCATTACAACAATACTGCAAGAGCCCAGTTGCAGCAACAATTAGTATTCATCGAGACCTTCGTCCCATAGTAACAGTGAATGTTTTTTGTTTTTTTTTATCAGTGCAACAATGGCACACACAGAAATAACTAATGCACAAATGCACATGTATCTCAATGAAAAAAAGAAAACATACAAACACACAAAACGGAAAGACAACAATATAAAGTAATAAAACCAAAGACAACTGTTATAGGCAACATATTCAACCATATTGTCGGAGTGAGACTCTGCCAAGCTTTGTGAAGTGTGTTTTATAGCCGTGGTATCACACTGAGGTACGCAGCCGCACACACACACACACACACACACACATATGCACACGTACATCCCCTCACACATCAAAGGCTTTATTTTATACCTTATATGGCTCCTTTCAGCTCAGAGAAAGCAAAAACATGGGGAGGAGTGGAGCGTGGTTCTTCACGGTGGTAGACGTTGACATACTGGTAGCCTGTTAAACATCTGAACAACAACACTGGGCTGAAACACGCTCAGCACAGCTGTGCATTACTTGATGCTTAATGAATGGACTCATTAGCAACATCTCAGCTACAGCCTGACCTTTGACTTCCTCACTCCTGACCTCTCAGATGGCCAACAGCCATCGTCTGTTTCTGACCGTCTGCCGCGCAGCTTTGAAGGCACCAGCGTGGTGTGAGCCGACCTTGTTTTCGTAGGGTAAAGTGAAAAGTTCACAACCCGCTCTTAATTGCTGTGCCTTGAGCAGTTGAACAACCACAGCTAAACACAGGTCAGTCTTGGCTGCCAGCTAATTTATCTAATAAGCCCATGAGTTCCCTTTTTCCCCCCCAAAGAATGTTATCAGATTTTTCTCCCCCAAATGTCCCATTCACTTTGACACCAGCTGCCAGGCACCCAGAATTATTCTGTTTACACTGGCTAAGTAGCAAGAGGTTCACCTGACTAACATATGTGAACACCTTTTCATTCGTGGGAACGGTGAAGGTTTTGTGTTTTATTTTCTTAGTATCTAATCAGATAAGTCACTATATTTATAGAATTTTTCCCATTGGTCTGCAAAAATACTCAAAGCGCGTGTTCACCGGGTGTGAGGGAATTCCTCCACATATGTGGATCCAAACGTGATGACAAGACACATTAATTGCTAAATCTGGGACCAAGCTAATCTCTTCTAAAGACAAGAAGACATCCCGTGAGCCGCTGTGGAACGTTTCTGGACAGACGACTATTGTATTCGGTTCTCTCTTCATCTCCGCTACATTCTCCTCTTCCTTCTCCCTCTCCTCTTTCCTATACTCTGCTTCACTGCATGCTGTGAGGATAAGATGTAAACACCTGTCTCTCAGCTCATTTACAGGCTGATTTAGGAGTTTTCTAAAGAGGGGGTTAAAGAAGAACACGGCTGCTGGAAAACATCTGGCTGGACAAAGACAACAGTGATCCTAAGGGGGTCTCAGTGTCTCCATGAACACACACACATAAACTCCTCTGCAACTTCTGATGAACTTCACCCTTAGCTCTCAGACCACAACCAGCTCAAAAGCCAAGTGACAACATAACTAACATATGCACTGTCTGACACACAAATACACAGTGACAGTCACATAAACAAATGCTGAGAACATGATCCTGAGAATGCAGCACAATGACACAAACGCACCCAGATAAATATATTGTAAAGGAAGGATGAGCATTGCATCTGACTGCCTCAGTGGCCATAGATTTAGAGGGTGATGACGAATGTGTTGGGTTTGAATTTGCACCAGGAGCAAGCCATTTAATGCCCAGATCCTGACATGAGAAATTCAGTGCAGTGAAAGGCTCCAGGTACATGAGTAGCGTCGGACACGAGAGCTTTGAGACACAGTGGGGATCTTGCTTCCCCCTGAATTTATGCTGTTCGTATTACCCCGCCACAACATATAATGCCATTTCCTTGCTGAATGAAAATCGTCTCTCTGAACTTCTCTACAAAATGTCTGCGAAACCAGAAGTAAGAGCTTTGAGCCATGAAACAAAGCTGACTGCAGGTAAAGATAAGAAAGTGAAGCCTGGAGCAACCCTGGCTGGAGCTCTGAGGCATCCCTAAAAAGCTGAGTCTTGGCTGGAAGTTACCTCCTGATGTTCCAAAATCTTCCAAAAATCTGCAACTTTAAACTTAAGAATTATCAATGGACATCCTGGAACAGATCAAATTGTGAGTAAGTTACATAATATCATAAGGTTATATAAGCATTTCCTGTCAGGTTAGATGATCAGTGTCATTCATCAGCCACCTCTGGAGCAACAGGCTCACTTTCTGAGGGAAGAGATCTCATGGCAAGCCTTACAGATTCACAGAGCGATCTCTGTCTGGAGCATTTCAAAATTCACATTATTTACCAGCAGCTTGCGGGTAGATCTCTTTACCTCGCATCTGCTGTGTTGTAAATTACATTACTCTGTAATTAAAAACAATGTACTGTAGAGGCCGTGTATGTGTTTAATTGCTTTTTTAAAATAGTGAGCTCTTTCTACCGCAGCCCCGCACAGCATTCAGAACAATGCTCACGAACATCTGGGAACTGTCAACAACTGTCTGCCACTGGCACTGTACTGTACTCCCCTCTGTTGACATTTTGCTGAGAAATACACCCTTCAGAATTAGTCAGAGATCCAGCACTTCTGAGAGCTGTGAGGAGGAGATACGGCAACAACTACTTCAAATTAAAGAGAAAAAAAAAGGGGGGGGGCAGCTTTTTTGGTTTAAAAATGATTTTTGAATTAAATTGGTCAGTCTTTTCTTTTGAAGGCAAGATAAATATAGTCATCAGAGTCATGAAAACAGTTGCAAGCATCAGGCCTGCATGTTGGGAAAGTGACAAACCTCCATTCAGAAATTTAAAACATTATCACAGTGGATGAGCTGCTCATCACTGCATTTACAGTTTAGATGTTTGATTCTGAATGACTATGAGAATAAGAAAACACGTGTAAACTACTGTCCTGACCTGACAACAATAGCAGGATGTTAAAGCATCTGTTTGACATTTTGTAAACATTTGTTAGAGTTAGATAAGAAAAAAACTCTTATGTCTCTACAGTAAATATGACATTTCAACCAGCAGCTGGTTAGTTCAGCTTAAAGATTAGAAAAAGGGAAACAGAAAGCCTGGCTCTGTGCAAAGGTAACAGAATCCACCCAACAGCACTTTTACAGCTGGCTGATTACTTTATTTCTTCTTGTGTGTTTTCAGTACCACATGTTTGCTCGTCTACTGGCAGGGTTTTGTAAAAACTACCTTGCTGAACTTCATGTAACTTGGTGGAGAGGAGAAGCACAGGCAAAGAAAGAACCTGGTACATCTTGGTGTGCATCCGGATCACTTTGTTTAAAACTGCAAGATAGGGCACTGGCTTTGGCAGAGGACTGTGACATAGACATACAGCCGCTAGCTGTGGATGAAGTGGCTCTGGACTGATTTTTACTGATGTGAAAGATGCACTGATGTTCTCATCCAACTCTCGGCAAGACAGCAAATAGGGGCAATTTTAAAAAAAACTGCCACACTTGCTTTAAATGAATAAATAAAGCAGTCATACAATGCTTTATACAATGTTGTACTTCAGTCTAAGAAGCAGTGGATGTAAATTACAATCTTATTGCAGTTAAATATCCTGCTCAGGAGCCTATTTCTGTGCCACTGCTGGTTAACTGTAGTAACCTATCCAAGAAGTAATTCTTTGGAGCGTGTGGCTTCATTCCTGCATGCAGTCGTTTGGTATTTATGTAGCTAGCCAATCTTTTGCATTTAATGGGCAGGAAGCACACCGCTTTTAAAAAGCAGGAAAGTTTTCAGTTTGCCAGCTGCTAGTCCTTTACACAACCATTGATCCTCCTAATCCGGCCCCTGTGCCAGCAGTTCTAGTCACAAAATTACTACAGATCTGTGTTATATTTGGTCACAAGCCCCGAGCTCTTTTCGACATGGTACATTAGGTAAAAGTGACTATCAGCATCAATAAACAGCTTTTATGACTCCCCAACAAGCTAAGACATATACTAAACCATGCGTGAACATTCTGTTATGACATCTTACTATGAATAACAACAGTGTGCGTGATCAATGGCCCTAATTGCCTGTGTGAACACAGTTTGGAACGGTACGTCAATAGACACGCCATAGATTAACACCAGCGCAGCAGTTCATATAAACCAAACGGAGGGCCAGTCAAAACAAACCAGAAATCACTCTTGAAGAGTGAGAAGCTGTTTGTCCACACAGATTCTTTGCACTCGAGGCCCTTCTCAGGTGTGCATGTACCAAAAACCAACTGAACAATGTTGCAAATAATTCCTAGTGTGGAATTCAAGTGAATATTGAACCGGATTGATGGAGATTTAACAAGAAACAGAAAATTCAAAAGCTTGCTCACAGTGTTTATGACGACTAACTCAAACCACACCCATGACAAGTTCTATTAACAAACACATCCAATAAATAATGCAGTAAGCTATCTGCTAAAAACCCCGTGTGTACACATGCATTCCACAGTATTTAAACTCGTGGCCATTAATGTCAAATATGAGGCAAAAGCATGATTCAAAACCTACATTTCTCACACGGAACATTATGTTTTGCAAACAACGCCATCAACTAGCGCAACAACAGTGAGCAATGGAAATGTGATTGTTGGTGTTCCTGCTGTGTCCTCATGTCTTCTGCCAACAACTCTGCAGAGGACTGATGAAATGCATTTGGTGCAACAAACAAAGCGCTGATCCCTCTGTCTAATGATGATTATTAATGGGACACACGGACACGGAGGTCACATATTTGCAGATTTTGAGACGGTCCACTTTGTGCACTTTTAACCCCTCGGCTCCCTCATCTAAACACACAGTCCTCTCGGCCTCCAGTAAAACGCCAGTGATATGTGGGCCTCTAAAATTGTGCAATGGTGAGAATATAATGCATCCCAGAGGAGAGCTAGAGACTGGACAAAAGTCTCGGGGGCCTGCTGGAGAAAGAAAGGTATGTGATTCTCTCAGTAAACACATTTCAATAATGTAAGCAACTCTGCCTCTTCATAAAGCACAGATGCACACACGCTGCAGTGCTTATTTTGCAATTAACCCCACACACACACAAGCTGAAAAGTGCTGGAATGTGCTGAGCAAGAAGCTTGGGAATATATTCAAAAAAATACTTAAGTGTGTCCCTTTCCTTTCATTTCATTTACACAAAACTCTCAGCATGTTTGAAAAATCATTACCGCGCAGTTTTCTATTTCAGTGGCAGCGCAGTTAGCGTAATGGCCGTGATTACATCTGTCGAGATGGATTAGTCGGAGAGAGGCCTGGGAGATGGCGATATTCTCTACTTAGAATAACAGAGGAGCGATACAGCGTGAATCACAGCAGAAGGGTAACACAAAACTCCACCGAGACGCTCCGAGCTCTGAGCCTCAGCCCCCGGCTCCGGCCAAAACGACACACAGCAGTGCTACACTTGCCACTTCCCAAACAACCCTCACCCCCGCTGCGACCCAACTCCCCTCACAAACCCTCCGTCAGACCGGAGTGGTGCTGAGCCAGGTCCTCAGCTGCAGCCAGGATACAATTACACGCCATTATATGTTTTATTAAAAGGTGGGGGGGTTGTTGGGGAGGGGGGATATAAAGGGATCAAAACAAAACAAAAAAGAATAACTGCCTCATTAAAGACTTACTGGGAAAGGTCAAGCCAATTGACCCCGAACATGCAACCATCTCGACTTTTGTTTTTTCTTCCACGTATTTCAGGGTGTTTGATTCCAGCAAAGGAGCCAACGGAGATAGAAAAAACAGAGGAAGAGAGACAGAGCGGTGGAAGCAGAAGCAAGAAATACTGGCATGAAGGACAGAGCAAACAAAAGAGATGCATGAAGTAAAACAGATGCTGGGCGATGAGTGAGCGACCATTTGCCACACGATACAAGTGGTAAAACATATATCCATCATCGGCACGGCAGCAGACAGTCACGAGTTCTTAAAAATCTAAGTATAATTTAAATGAAAGCAAGTTAAACGACATTCAATTTCTCAGAAAAAGGGAAACAGCTCAGAGGCATTTTTACTGTTGCACATCATAAAAAGTAGAAGCTTGAGAATCGCTAATGCCTCTGCATTATTTGTGGCACATCCAATTATTTCCCAGGCAGAAGGCAGTCAAAAGCACAGGTAGGTAAATGTTTTCATTCCTTTCCAGCCTTAAATTTAGTCTCGCCACAGGACCCAGTGTGATGAGAAAACACTGTACTACACTGTTATAATAGGACCAACCAGAAAAAGACCTTTTTCAACTCCCAAATCTGCAGATTTAGAGATGTTGATGGTGATTTTGAGAAATCTTCAACATGACTGTAATGTCATGGCATGTCTGCTCTTCCAGCGTTTCTGTAATTTAGAATAACAGTCACAAAATCCAGGCCTACAAGCGCTCTTTTCTCCGATAATCTCTCTGGGTAATATTCCAAAACCAGTGTGTTTTCAAGTTGAATACAAATATTTAAATAGCTCTTTCCATACATAACTTTATTGTCAATTCCTAAGCTAAAACATCCACCACAAGCTTTGGACAGGGGAAATAAAAAAAATAAAAAAAAGATGTGGTTTGGAAAATGAGCCTGCTAATGTGTGCATGTTGGCGAATACGACACGGCGGAGATCAATCAAGCGCTCCGGTCTCTCTGTGTGATTTACACACGCTATGAGGTGCAGTGGCATAGTGCAGTGCAACCAGCTTCTCTGACCGGCAACCTGGTCCAAGGCGGCAGAGCCAAGGGAAAACAGCCACGAGATGGAGAAGGGATGCCAACATAAGCCTCGAGTTCTTACACATCGTGTCAGTCTTTGGGCTATTACAGGATTCCACTGACGAACGCACAGCACCAATCCAAATAAAAAAGACTGAGCTGACCACTGAGTCTAAATGGCAGCTTAGGGAATGCATCAATCAAAAAATATGTGCTAGCCTACAAAGCTCACATAACAAGCTGATACAAAAATTGTCGCATGCTATTTGGAAATTTCAGGCAGTGGGATAATATTTAGGGAGCCACTACATGAGCGTTTCTAGGATATTACAGTGTGTCATTTGTTTTCAAGCTTCAATTTTGACCACTGTTCATGACAAATCCCCCATTCATTTCTAAAGGATATCCTCCTGATAGGAGAATATGCAGTACACAACACACACATACTGTATATGGCCATGCCGGTGCCAAGGGCATTGTTTGTTCTTCGTGTACTCCAGAGTCCTGCCCTGTGTCTCTGCAGCAGCTCAATACATCAATTTCCAAACACATGCACACACACACACTCTCTCTCCCCCCAAAGATGGGGAAGGTAATCTCAAGGATGTGCGTCTGCCCTCTACAAGCTCTGTCCCCCTGTGCCGAGTCTTTCTAGTGTCAATTCCCTTGGTCTTTAATGGCTTGTGCAGCGCCTCGGAGCCAAATCACAAACCTGTGTCCTTTAAAGTACAACAGCAACAGTACAACAAAGTCTCTGGTGGGAAGTGACACCTCTGGACATGCTGTTTAACCACAACTAAGATGAATGTCCGAGCAGGCCTGGTTGTGGTGGGAGTTTTAACTGTTTGCGTCATTTATAAGGTGTGCGTTTTCCTGTCAGCTGTTAATCATTATTGCTATGACTCGTGTGTGTCTCTCTTCTTTTTTTTGTTTTTCTGCGGACACTGCTAACCTGTGATCCTCGGGATCCTCTCTTGTGGTCCCAATCTGAGCGGGGGAGCATCTGTGGGAAACACAAACAGAAACATGTTCAAACCACAGTCCTGCGCATCCTGTTTCTGTTAGCTTCCTACAGCTCCACAGCGGAGACAGACTGTGGCAGAAAAAGAGGAGCAGCAGCAGCAGGAGTGGCAATGCAAAGAAGTGGAGGACGTGTGGGGGAGAATGGAAACGCTCATAAATGCAAAAATGGGTTTTGTCTATTTTTTTCACTTTCCATTAAGCGCAGACATCTAATGCAATTTCACAGTCAGGTTTGGTTTACTTTAGCTCCTATTCACTGCCTAAGGGGCTGGTGGAGGCTGAGGATTTTTACGCTGTCTAATTACCAGCCACTGTGTCCTCCCACAGGCCTTGTAAATCCGTTTTCCACTTTCTTGGGAGTCACCAAATGCATGCGTGCAGCTCTGTCGCTGACTTTTTTGGTGGGCACGTTGCAGGAGAGCCAAGTTTACCCCCTCTCTCTCTTCGCCTGCCTCTGAGAGGACTTTCTACCCCAGAACTGAGAAGCCCTGAGAAACCCAGCATGCCGCTGTGACAAATTGCCGCTGCACACATCGAGGCAAGGGGCTCCATATAAGAGCCAATTTGATAATTCAGGTGTAATTTACTGTGTCAGTGGAGGTCATTGAGTTGTGTCATGCTGTGAGCGAAAACATTAGGCAGCAACGGGCCTGTCTGGACAGCAGTGTTGTTTGGTGGAGTGTAAACAGGGCTGCTTTGTTCAAAACAGATGCTGGCAGTTGAAGTTTTACATTTTTTGGAGCATAATAAATACAGGTATGTTTGTATAATTATTGGAAGACTGAATGTTTTCCCATGTTTCTCCTTTCCTGTTGTGCCGTCTCAGTTTTTTGCTTTCCATACTGGGATTTAATGCGTCTTTGTTTCACTGGAGCTCAACAGAAATTTATTTTTTCGCTCACAGCATTAAATATTAAATGGAAAAAAATGTGTCTTACAGTAGAAACTGCATTCTGTGCTCACGTCCTGTATTATTTAGATGATCCACAGACCTCACTGACAGCATTTGGCGGGGACTATTTCTTCAGCAGAAAGTAGTTCCGATGAAAAGCGTTGGTATTTTGTATAATTTGCTAAAAAAAACTATCAGTCTGATTTGCTTTTACAAAATCACTGATGTTAAAAAACATTTAAGAACAGAATTAAGCTGCAGTCTGGCTATCGTGCATTAATACTTCACATCTAAAGTATTTGTCTATAACACAACATTTTTAAGGCTTAATAAAAAAAAAAAAAAATTGAAAGTTAAAGTTTGACTGAAAAAAAAGAATCCCTGGGTATTATTTATACCAGTTCAACAGTTCAACACACAAAATCTCAGTTAATCTGCTTCATCTGCACTGTGTGGGCATGGTTTAATCACTTTGACTTGAAATGTGGTGACAGCTGGAGGCTTGTCTCCACATTTCAAGTCAAATATTGCTAAAATATTGTTAAATCCTGCAAATCCCATTTATTTCCCAGCTGAGCTCCACCCACTTCAACCAGCAAAACGAAGAAAAAAGAAAAAGTACAAACAGAAACTTCTCATGTGAAATAACCAAAACTGTTTCAAATTTAGGACAAATTCACATAGGACCCATTGCTCATATTCAAAATGAGTTGGTAGTGTACGACTGACAAAAGTTTCCAGGGCCCTTGAAGATGTGAACTGTAAATCAAGCTGGGAGTCACAGCAGGTTTAAATCATGTATTTTTAACTTTGATGACAAAGCTTTTCTCTACACTTTGATCATCAGATGTGCCTTTGACATATTTAGCAGGACACACTTTTGACCTCTTGGTTTCCTTGCGGAGTAGTTATTGTATACTTCGTCCTTCAGTCAAGGTTTTATCAACAATAGGCACAAAATGTGGTGACCATGACAGAACGCAAACAAGGACGCCATCATAGCAACCTACTGTAACGCACACCCTTCATAAAATAAAATGCGGTGGGTGCACTACGTCTTTTCCATAGTTTGACAATAAAATGCAATATGAGAGGGTTTGCCCTTTCTCAGCAGACATCTTCGCTCTCGCCTCAGCACCACAGCTGTGAAAAGCTTGGATTCTGCGATTGTCAGCAACACTTTAAACCTCCATCTAACGATCAGACAGCTTCACAATAGCTACACTACTGTAGGTAGAAAAGGAAGTCGATCAGCTGTGTAAAAGGCAAACATATGATTTAGATCAGTGCAAATGACAGCCTCAGCCAGTCGCTGCTGTTTGTCTCATTCTTTACTGCTCTGACGACAGAGCTTTGGTTTTCCAGTGCAGGAGCTGGCAACGCGCTGCTCTACAGCGGCGACAGTGCTGCTCCATTAGAAGGTCCTCGTATCAGTGAGGCTCTCCAGGCGCGCACAGAAACAGCGTCTCGGTCTGACCGTCTTATGTAACCCAACCTTTCATCTCCCTGCTTTGAGAGCCAGAACCAGACTACACAGAAGTCTACATGTGCACTTTGATGTGCCAAAACAAAAAAAAAAAAAAAAAAAAAATCACACAATGTTGAAAATGAGCATAAAATTTGAGCACGCAGATAACCTGTCACATTGAGTGACTTTACAGGACACAGTAAAAGTTCATTTTCTCTGAGACTGATTTCAAGAAACACACATGGATGATGTTTGTCTGGTGCCACTATGTTATTTTTTTCTAATCAGTAGAGGAAAATCACGAAACAAAATGTTGCTCTTTGAAATTTCCAACCACTACTGTTGGAATAAACAAAGAGACAAACATCATCTGTTTTTCAGAGCAAAATGCAAAAATATCGGTCCTGAGGAGAAAAAAAAAAAAATCAGCAGAACTAAACAATAACACGTCACAGAGGCCAAAAATATGTGCATATGACTGTAGAATAAATACAGAACAAGCTATACGTCTTCTGTTGGAGACAGTTAATCCTCTACAAGCAATAATGATAAAAACAAGAAAAACAAAAAGTCTTGTTCGTGCTTTATGACCTTGTTTTGCTTCAGGAAGACGGAGAAGAGCAGTCTAAGATTATACTTAAAACACAAGACAGGTCACTGCCAATATTATGTCTGAAGAGGTAAAACCACACATGAATGATTTCTTAGATATCTCCTGGTTTTTCATGGACACCCTCCAGGCAGCATAACACAGCCGAAGCAGTAAAACTTCCAAATGGATTTGTTTTTGTCCTAAAGCTCCAGTACACCTACTGGGAAAAATAACAACTTTGTCAAAGCTATGCCCTTTGTTTCACCCTCTGTTAGATTCATTATGCCGCCCCATAACTCACAATAAGCCGGGTCTAGTCGCAGCTTTCCATCACCTAACGTTCATGATATACAAGAGACTAAAATGTAAAGAGAAAAAGATGCTTTGTGTCTTTGAAAAATAGAAGTACGTCTTTCGATCATTGCGCTCGAGCTACCGGAGCAACGTGACGCTTCTCGGTGAGCTCTGAGGCCTGTTTACGAGACTGTGGTCCATTGTGACGACATTCTGGTGATTTACTGTGCCTTCATTATTCAGAATGATGCTCTCAAGAAGCAAACAACACAAAGAGGCGACAGCGGTTTAGTTCAGCTGCATGTTAACAGAAGATGCAGCCCGCCTGAGGGTCTTTCCACTAAATAAATTGGAAATGAGCAACGATAAAATCACACTGAGCTTAAGCACCCCTTCATCTTCACTATTTGTCGTGTTCCAAATGCGTCAGTGCAAATTTATTTTCGACTGGATGTTGTTTAACATAATGATAATGTATTTTTTTAAATGCAAACATAGTATTTCTGGCATTGTCAAGATGTAGGCTTGGTCTTTATTTATTAGTTTTTTTAGTAGGCCTGGTCCAGTTTGCATTTGCAGTAGTCATGTTTGGAGTAGCAGCATATATATATATATACAGCCTGATATTATCTAACTGATACCACTGAGTGACCACATCAGAACTTTTGATTCAGTAGCTTTAGCATAACACAGAAAGGTGACAAATTAAAGGAAACTCAACATAATGCGTCTTACTAAACTGTTGGGCCACTATGTGCTGCCAGAACAGCTTCAGTGCACCCAAGTTTTGATTCAACACATCTCTGGGCTCTATTGGAGGGATGACACCATTCTTCTCAAAAATCTTCCCTCATTTGTTGTTTTGATGATGGTGGTGGAGAATTGCACATATTCATCTCACAATCTTCTATGAGTGGGAAATTGGGTTGAGATCTGGTGACTGCAAAGACCATAGCACATGAGTCACGTTGTTTTCATCCTGGTGAAACCCTTCAGTGACACTTTGTGCCCCATTAATAGTGTAATTGTTAAACCTCTCTCAGGAAGATAGAAATGTTTCATCATATGATCAAGGTGATCACTCAGAACAACTTTGTATTGATTTGCAGTGACTCTTCCCTTTAAGGACACATGTGGAGCCAAACTGTGGCAGGAAAACAACCCCCCCATTGTAACAGAGCTACCAGACCACCTCACTGTGGGTTTTCCTTTAATTTGTCACCCCTTTGGAGGGTAAAGTGAAGAATGTGTTGGTGAGTAAATTTACTCTCAGCCAGTCACATCATTGACTAAACATCACATCATCAACAAACATGGTGAAACATGATGACAGAAACTGAAAAGATGGAAAGTGACTACTTCAGGAAATGACATTATTGTCTGTACAGCACAGAATATCACGACATGAACATAAAACTGCAGCAAAAGGCAGATGGTGTCTGTATTTTTTTCAACTTGTGCAGTCATGATCGAAATAAATGATATTATTGATGGAGATTTTTTTTTTACTTTCCCATCAGTTTGAACTACTTTAGTTTCTTTTCTGCATAATCTCACGTCATGATTGGTCAATCAAACTGTAAAAAATAAAATAAAATAAAGTGTGTACTGTTATATAAGATGATACCTCTACTAAAAAATTCTAATAGTAAAAAATAAAATCAGAATGTTCCAAAAGAGGACGGTTTGATGAGCTGCTGTAATCGGATATCTCCGACATTAACAACTGAACAC